CTCCCCGGCCACAGGAGGAGGGTCCCACATGGCGCGCAGACCTCTCCTGCCATGCCCGCTGCTCCCCTCAGCAGTGTACTTCGGTCCTTCTGCCTGCTCTGCTCCCCGCTCTGGCTCTGGTGAATTCTCTCACCCTCCCGCGCTTCTGACTGTACCCAGTGCATGTGTAGACGGAACGAACGAACAAACAAACAAATAAATAAATAAAAGCATGCCTCTATAAAAAAAAGGAAAAAAAAAAAAAAAAAAAAAGTAAAAAGTCAGAACCTTTGAAAATACTGTACAAAGCTCATAACTTTTTGTTGTCATAATAAGCATCAACAGTACAATTAAGGTAGGAACATGTAATCAGTCACCTCTCCAAGGTTTAAAAATTCAGACATATCTTTTACCATTTGACGGAAAAAAATGTTTCAAGGTACAGATTTCCCCATCTGGCCTTAGTTTCAAATGTTCTATCCGAATGGACAATCGAGTAAACACATACCTATTTGCCCTAGTTGTTCATGGATCTTAGCTATAATGAACTTATTCAAACAAGATTTCCCTGTACAGTGGATTGGAATAAAAAAAGGAAGGACCGTCATTGTCCTGTCTGTCCATCATTCAACCTCTTCAAGGTCCCAAACTTATTCCTCCCATACTCAAGATATTGTTACCCATTTATCAAGCATAAACATGCACCTGTGGGTTTAAGTAATAGACTAATTAACTGAAGATCTATAGAATTGGAGACAAGGACATGTAATTTGTATAAAAAATCTGTTCAAGTAGATACATTTCACTTAGTACTCAGCCTAGGGGTGGTTTCCCTTAAAACTTGAAAAAAGTTTCCCTTAAAACTTGAAATGCAAGAAATATTTATTTCTTACCCCTATACTTAGCGAATCATAATTATGTACTTTTTAAAACTATATTCAATCACTGTTAAGATTTTATTTTATATTTTTTTAAGATTTTATTTATTTATACAAGAACCAGGGTAAAGGCCAGAGGCATGGGAGGGTGAGAGTATTCTCCAGATAGTGTGGGTGCATAACAGGCAGACCGACCAAAAGCACTGCTGAGGGGAGCAGCGGGTGAGACAGGAGAGGTCTGCTGAGCCATGTGGGCAGCTCCCTGGCTGGCCAGGAATCAAACCTGTGCTGCAGAGGCTGTAGACAGCTTCACAGCGCTACACTCAACCCGCTGAGCCACCAGAGAGGCCCCAATACGTACTCTTGTAAGGGAAAGGAGATCTGTCAACTTTGTAAAATGACCAAATTTATCACCAAAGCAAAGTAGAAAATATTTCATGAGGACAAGACCACTGATATCACACTGCACTGACTTTGACAGTTAAGGGTTATTGCCTAATATCGAAGGACACATAAGCAAATAAATGTTCACAAGTCCATGACTCAACAATGCCCTGAAAAATCTCTCAATTTTATGAAGTGTGGACTCTGAAATGATTAAACTGCATAAAAATACATATAAAGTTTAATTCAAAGTATAAGGTGATCAGATTTGGCCAAAGCACATACAATAAAAGACAAGAGGATCACAGACTGTTCATATACTAGTGTTCAATGAATCTGTGAAAAAGACCCCTCAGAGAAAGGTATGTAAAATGTAATGAAGTTTAACAATAAGAGAAAATCCAATTAACTGGAGAATACTTATTCATAAAACAATGTCCATTAAAACCACAGAAAGTAATTTTCCACTTTGGAATTACTTATATGTATCAAAAAATGTGGTGCTGAGAAACAGTCTAGTAATTCTTGATGGCAATCAACATGCTTATGATACTGTTCAGGCAATGTAACAAATTATTTCATTGTCATACTTTTATGCACTACACTCAAAACTGGATTTTTTAAAAATTAAAGTACTAAATATATCAGAGATATATTCATGACAGCAGAGTAAACTAGAAAAAAAAAACCACAAGTGCAAGGGAAAAGTAAATCATGAGCAAACTTATTTATTCATTATAAATGAAAATTATAAGGACTGTAATAAAATGAGGAAACAATGATATACATTTAAGTGGAATAGAACAGAAAGTTTAATAGCATGATTCCAACTACCTACAGTTTCAAAAGAAAAGCAAATGAACAAATGAAAAATACCAACCTCACATTCTGATAGAAAACATGGATACAAAAATGTTTACTTTTGGTTTACTTTCCCGTTTTCCTTGTCTACCACTCTTAATTTTTAATAATGAAAAAGGTACCAAGTACTAAAATGTCTTTAAAAACTCCACATTATAACAGCACAGTTGACTTCTTTTTAAATTTAAATTTTATTTTTATACAGCACAGTTGACTTTAACATGTTTCTTAGACCGACGTCTTACTCCAGAAATGCATCTGGTTCCCTATCCTGTAATGTTTACTTCATAAAAACTCTTATAACCCATTTTTCATCACTACTTCCTACACTCCCCACTGATCCCATCTGTGGTTTTATCTTTCAAGGTAGTTCTCTAAAGCAGGAGTCAGTCAACTCTTTCTTTTCAAGAGAATGAAAAAATTTTAACCTTAGTTTACATATGTCACAACTACTCTAACCTGCAAATAGAGCCATAAATTGTATGTAAATAAACTGACAATGATGGAGATAAGGGAATTTTTCCTAATAAAAATAGGACGTGGGATCAGATTATTTTATTAACCCCTGATTTGAAACAATTCTATCAGTGGAATATAAGTAACAGAAGAAAATATGCTGGGCAAAATACAGCAAATACAAATCTTTTGACTACCAGAGTGAACAGGAGGAAGGAAAGAGGGGTTGGGGATGAAAGACAGGGAAAGGTAGCTTGGTGGAGGGTGACCGGAAAAAGTGCATATATGGAGGTATAAAGATGTACCTAAAAACTATAATTAAAAAATCCCATGAACTAGTAGTTTAGATAAAAGTGGCACTGGAGACTAGAATACAACATTATCATCAGAAAGTTAATGGTCCTACTTGCAGATCATAATATATGATTTATAACATACTTCAAAACTTCTAAAAGCATATGAATTTCTAGAGGAAGATTCCTGCTTAAAAAAAAAAAAAACAACTGCGTACATTTGCTTATTTAAAAATACACTGTGAAGCAACTGGGTACAGTGATCATATTCTATTATCTTGTACCGAAAGCTAGGCAATCAATAACTTGCAACTGTCAGGTAAATAAAGGTTCCAGCAGAAGGTTCCTCTCATGCCCCCCCCCCCTTTGCTTTAAAACTCAGAATGGTGGCCATAAAACATGCCAATAAAGAAAAAAAAATTGAAACTCATTTTTAAGTTCCCTTTCTTGGATCATCTTAGTCTACAAGGTATTGAATCTCTGTGATAAGGCCATTCTAATCTTAAAATTTGTTTAAAATCATAAAAGGATGCACCCTCATGTTCACTGCAGCATTATTTACAATAGCCAAGATACTGATACAACCTAAGAGTTCATCAATAGATGAAGGAGGAAAATATGGCATGTACGATATGAAAGAGCTCTTTAGTCACAAAAATCTTGCCATTTGTAACAACATGGCTGGACCTTGAGAGCACTGTGCTAAAGACAGAAAGATAAACGCCATGTGTTCTCAATTACATGTGAAGTTTTAAAGTTAAAAAAAAAAAAAAAAAACAAGTGCAGAGGTGCAGAGATGGAGCAGTGGGTAGGTAAAATGGGTTAAGAGTCAAATGATATAAACTTCCAGTGACAAATAGGTCAAATGGATGGTATATACAGCAGAGCAACTACAGTTAATGCTGCACTGCAGATTTGAAGGTGGCTAAGAGAGTAAACCTTTACTTTTACAACTCCAAATGGTTTTATGAGATAGGAGAATACCATTTTTTTAAAGAAACTTGTCATTTTTGAATAAAATTGATTTACTCAACAGGAATCATTAAAAAATAGGTGATTTAATCGAATTCCAATGCAAAAATGAAAAATGATGTAAAATATATAAAATATATAAAATAAAGTTTAAAAAAGGTTTCATCACAACATAAAATTTGCTACTAAATATATATATTGACTTACGGTGGTTATTATGAAATATATACAAATATCAAATCATTATGAAGCTAATGTGATGTTGTATGCCAATTAAACTTCAAAGAAGTCACAAAAGGGAAAAAATTAAATAAAAATGAACTTCTGAATAGCTTTTTCCTAAAAATGTAAGCACCAACATAAAGACAGACTATAAATAAATCTACATCACATTGAAAATCATGGATAGTATCTTTATTACATTGTTGGCTGATTCAAATACACTGGTGAAAACAGAAAAGTGAGAAAAAGACAAAACAAAAAGGAATAATTAGTAAATAAGCATGGGAATATTTAAGTTCCCAATTAATAATGGATGTGATATATATTTAAAATTCAGTAGACAAATGACATGTCAGTAAAATAACCAATGCTGATGAATGTATATTATTAATAGCACTACATTCATTTTGAAGGCAAGAGACTAATAACTTTGTAATGATCTTAGAAAATATTAATTAAGTTCACATAACTTAGTTCAGTTTATTTTTACATCTGCATATCTGAGGATTTTATCCTTTCTCGTGTTTCATGCAAAGCTACTCACTGATGTTTTATTCAAATCACCTGCAGAAAAAATAAGTCTTTTACAAAGGTAATTATAAAATATTCAACAGCAAATATTCAACAGCCATTTATAATAGTTTCATATTTTAAGTTGAAAACTGGTACAAAATAAACTGTAAATAAAACTCCCTAAAAAGTATGTATACTATGATGACTGGGAAATACAAAAAACATGACACAAGGATCAAGGCAAGAACATTATGCTCTTGTGTTATTTTTAAACTTCTTGCCATATGCTTATTTCAGAAGATTTGAGAAAAAAAGTTGTTTCAACATGTTCCAAATAATTACATGATCTCCAAACACCCTATTCTTTATTTCTGATCATGACTGCATCGGCTCTAACCTTGTTTTTGCCTGGAATCAGCTACCTTGATCTTCCAATACTGCTTTAACCACCTCTTGGTGTCTCAGCTAAGAATGCCTGTCTCAATTCCGCCTGGAAATCCACCACAGGTACTTGCTGCAGCTGAGATCGCCTTGGGTACAGCTGACACCTATGTCAAGAGCACAATACATATAAATGAAAATACATTTGCCTATATAGGTAACTACATGAAAAAAAAAAACAGACCACCTCTTGTATGTGAAAAAATTCTCATTTAGGGTCTGAGCATACCATTTTTGTATGAGGAGCTAAAAAATAGTAAATAAGAGTCTGTACATAAAGGGATACTTACCAACTTTGGTGATCATTAACAAGGAACTGAAAAAAAAAGGCTCTTTGGTTTAAAAATCTTGGAAAGCTCTTCAGTAACATACACTCACTCCCTCTTCAATCATTCTACTCCATATCTGTAAACAATCCTTTAACCCCAAGAGGGGCATGGGAAAGTCAGACATTAAGGTTCAGTCCCTGAAAGAAAGTAAAGTACTTCCAGGACACAGGCTATTTAGGCTTGTGAACTATTCATTTATTAGTAAGCAACAAATTACAAAGAAAAACCCTCATTATACGCCTATAGATCAGTAATCTGGCTATGTATGGACACGTGAATAAGAAATGTAGAAAAACTGCATAGTTTGCTGACTAAGCAAGAGCAGCATAAAAAAATACCTATCAGCAGCAATTCTTTGATGATAAATTATATATATTATATATACACTCAACAGCAGTTAGATTTTGAAAAGGAACTCTGATAAAAATGTTTTTGACTCCATTCAATAGTTTTTAAACATTTTAATATGCTGTTATATAATAATTAGGTTGGATTTTGTTGATGGTTCCTTACATTTCCCAACTGACAGAATGTGTCTTTGTTATTGTGGTGGGCCCAAAGGCTACACCAATGTTAATGTTATTGAGCTCATGTAACAAGGCACAAGACCAATCATGTCATTAAAAGACTGGGGTACTGAGATTACCCTCCTTGTAAGGGACAGGAGCTGGAAACTGAGTGAGACTGAAGTCAATCAAAAGGCCAAAGGTTAATCAATGGCTTGGTAATGAGACCCTAATAAAAATTATAGCACCCAAAGCTCTAATGAGCTTCCTGGTTCACAATATACATTACTATGCCGAAAGGGTATCATATTTTGAAGTCATGGACACTCCAGATCTTGTCCTATGAGTCTCTTTATTATTTAGTTTATCTTGATTTCAACCTTTAGTAATAAGGACAGTGTTTTTAAAGACTTTTTAAATAACTAGTTTTAAAAAGTTAACATGTGCATAGTAGGAAATTAAAAAAACAAGATGTAAAGAATGAAGTCATCCATAATTGTAAGCAGTTTAGTTTGACATGTCCTTCCAGGTCCTATGTATATATTTACGTAAGTAAGCTTCCACTTTTTTATAGTTAAGATCATATAGTTATGTAGCATGCTTTTTCACACCATGAATTATTTCCTATTTCAAAGTTCCATAGCTCTATGGATATTTTACTTCATCCTTTAATATTAAGATAGGATCTTCTTGCATTCTATATATCTAACAAATTATCAGATATAAAAGAGTAATCCTTAATCTACAGCCAACTAGAGAGAAAGAATTGCAGATAGCCTGGCAACACTGGAATGTTCTTGGAACCCAAGTTATTCTTGTGGAGCCTTTAACATGTCAAATCTGCAGTAACTCTAGGAAGCAAGGTAAAAGTTGGAGTAAATGCATTGCTCATGACTTTAAATTTTCCCAGTCCATGACTGAGTAATGAAATCCTTATTTGGTCATTCTTGGCTCCATTTTTTTTGTCACCAAATGACACAATTTCTCTGAGCCAGCCAGATTTTAATAGAAGTTTTTAGTCAAAAAGAAAAAAAAAAAAAAGGACAAGAAAAAAAGACATCACCACATGAAAGAAAACGGCAAAATGTCCATTATAAAAGACAACTATATAAAATATTTACTCATAAAATACCCAGAAAAGTAAGCAGGGTAAAATGGAGAAATTTTTGCCCTCATCAGTTATTCAAAATGAGCAAATAAATATATTGCAAATATATATTTTTTTTTCCTGAAACTCATCTTGCAGTGTCCCTCTGGGTTAAACTGAATCCACCTGGAGACTAAGAGTGGGAATATGCAGTACATATAGCATTTAATTGATAAATGGCTAAGTCTGGAAAGGTATTTTTAGGAGTGCGTAGATGACTTTCAAATCCCTGTGTCCAATTTCTCTAAAACTCACAATACATCAAGAAACAGGGAAGACATTCTCTAGCTCCAAAAAGTAAGAATTAATTTGGTGATATGTCTGCTGGAAAACAGAGTAACTATCAATTTCAGAAGAATAAAGCAATGAAATATGATTAATATTTATGTTTAGTTTAGGGAATGTTTTATTTGCATTTTGTTTATTTTTTTTACTCAATTTTACTTTGTAAATTGTGGATGAGATAAGTACAACAATCCTTTATTGGTCTTAGAACTGGTACACACAACTCTTCTAGAAATATTAACTCCCAGAATTTATGGTTTGAGAAAAATGGAGAAATTTGATGGCTTATCATTAAAATGAACACTCATACTATAGTTATTAAGTGCCCCAATCCTGAGAGAATCCAAAGTTTTGGTGTCATTAAGTAGAGCTTTAAAATGTATTAGTACTGTTTACACATTCCTATAATCCACTTATTCTGAAGGTAGAGGTCTCTGTGAAGTTACACTACTTCCCTTACTCAAAATTCTCCTCAGATCTTTCCCCTATTCAACACCCTCTAATATTTATACATTAATATATACAGCAGAGGTCAGGAAAATGAAGTTAGTTATTCTTCAAAACCAAGAAAATAGAGCTGGATAAGCAAAACGTGTGTAGAAAAAAAAAAAAAAGTTAAGGATGAGATCACCTCTTATCCTGGTCCATATTGTTGCTGTTCCAACAAAATATAACACCAGAGCATTCACCCACTAATAAGAGATCTTCCTGCCAAGAGATCCCCATTACCCATATCTACGCCACAATGTCTAACCTGTCAAGATATTTGTAGAAATTCTAGGGGGGAAATGGCATTTTTTATAACGTTGAGGTTATAAAAGACTGAAGGAAAAGACATTACCATGTGAACAAAAACAGCAGAAAGTCTACTATAAAATACAAGCAATAAATATTTATAAAATAATCATTTTCAAAGCAATTTCCAAAATTAAAATGTAGTAAAGGCGAAAACATGTCTCAGGAGAGAAAACTAAACGGGAAAATAGGGAAATCTTTATGCTCATCAGTAATTCAAATGAGCAAATAAATATACTGCAACTTTTCACATATAAAATAACCAAAATAAGACACAAAAATGCTACCAACATTTTATAACAGAATTTTTAAAAGCTTTAGCTTTAAGTGAAATAAAATGCAAAGCATCAGAATTAAGAGCTAGTGTTAATTATTAGATTAAGTGTACTTATCTTCATTGTTTATATAAGAAATGCAAAATCAAGTATTCATCAGTATGCTAATGATAAATATAATTGTTTTCACACCACACATGTTATGCAATTTGTAAAGTAGATAAGATAGATTTTTATCTGTTGACATGAAAAGATCCCTGAGGCATAGTTACAGAACAGTAAATCCCACTTAAGAACACAAATCACAGATAAAGCCTCCCCAGCTGGGGCAGCCCCCTTATGCATGCATGCATGCACATACACACAGGAAGTCTGAAAGGATAGAGATCAAAGTACCTGAGGACAGTGTCTAGGGAGGGAAGGGCAATGAACTGATGTTGTCCTGAAGTAGATATTTACTTCTTATTTTTCAAAATTATGCATTTAAACACAGTATATTATTAATGTTAATAATATTAATACTTAGAATTTTGAAAAAGAACAGCTTTAAGGCAAGAAAAGTAGTAATACAAAATGCTAAAGATTCAATGTTTTGGTCTTTAAAATGTTCATTAAAAAATTAAATAGCCCTTCTGGGGAAGAAGGGAGGGGTGAGGGAGGGAGGGAGAGAGGCAGGGAGGGAGGGAGAGAGAGAGGGAGGGAGGGAGGGAGAGAGAGGGAGGGAGGGAGGGAGGGAGGGAGGGAGAGGGAGGGGAGAGAGGGAGGGAGGGAGGGAGAGAGAGAGGGAGGGAGGGGGAGTGGGGGGTAAGTGGGAGGGAAGGGGGGAGAGGGAGAGAGAATATATTTATTCCTCTTAAATATAAGAGGAAAAAACTAATGTTTTTAACTTGATAAATGTGCAATCCAAAGCCTAAACGCTGCTGAACAGAACATTTTACAAACACAGAATGTGATTTAGCAACTTAATAAAGCAGAAATAGTTTAAATATGTTGAAGGACCTTCAATTTTAAATGTAATGCCCACATGTTATCAAAGATAAAGGAAATTTGTATTACTAACATTTTAACAGAGGTTGAGTTAACTTTGGGTTAACTGCTATTTTGCTACATCTTCTGTATTATGTACATGATAATTTAATTAACTTCACTTGAAATGGTGAAATTGCATAACATTTTGTTCCAATTTGAAAAAGGATTCTCATCTAAACTGTTTTTTGGCACAGACTGTACTCACTCTTGGTTGCTCAGAGAGGCGGTCCTTCTGCGTTTGACTTGGACTTCCACCTCTGGAACGTGCTGTTCAGTTGTCCGTCTCAGGTGTAAGCGGTCCCTAAACAGTAAGAGGGATTTGTTTGATATGATTTTATTAATGAGGCAGCTCAGCTGTCCACCTATGACTATGTAGGTGGCCCTTCTTTTTCCTCCTCCTCTTCCTAATAAAACTGTCCTTTTAAAATATGAAAAATTAATTAAACCTTTGAAATATTCATTTAACATGAATAAGCTTTAAGTGTTTATAATCTTATTAAAACAAGGAAAAAATTAAATATTAGTTTTTTATTCTTCAATCTACTCTGAAACCAAATAAAAGCCAACTTTCTCCATTCATCATCCCTTAACCTCAGATAAGATGGGAGAAAATATCAGAAAATGAAGGAAAAATATAATTATACCTAATCTCTAATATTCACACCTTTACATTTAAAACTACAGGATATATATAAATGTATACACACATATACTGACATTCTACACATACGTGCACTGAAAAAAAAACAGCTAATTTCCAGTGATTTGAAAACTATTATTTTTGTATAATGTAATAACACACTTTAGCTTTAAAATTACAAAATATCTACTTAAGCAACCTCCTATGAAAATGTTTTAGGATTTGCAAATAAAAAGGATGTCTAAGCAAAAAAAAAAAAAAAACCCAACATGCCTCCGCCATATTATGATCTGTAGAACTATTCACAAAATGGCTACACAAGCATCTGTGAACGGGTGGCCATGTTGGAAATGACAGGCGTTACCCACAAGGCTGAAGTCTAAACATACTAAATCAGACAGGACAGAAACACATTTTACAAAACTTATGCAACTTAGTATCTTTAAGGCAAAATATGAAGGACACTTCCCAAAATTGAATTACCTGAACTCTAGTCATTTAAAAAAATTGTGATGATTATGCAAATTAACCCAAATAGCTTAATAACCAAGTTGTTGTTACTTCAAATGCTTTAAAGTTCTAGTCAAACAATAGAAATAACTTTTAAAATTCTATACGCAAACATTAGACTTTAAATGATAAAAATATGTACTTCGCTAATCATCTTTATCTTTATCTTTGATTAGGCATTTAAGTAGCAAACATTATCACCTGTAGAGTGTTAATTTGTTTTGTTTCAAAATCACTTTCATTAGTGAAAAATCAACTGAATGCAGAGTGATAAGATTCCACACCTACTATATCCGAAAAAAAGAATTCATAAATTGTATTTCATCAAAAACAAAATATTCATTTTACAGGACACTCTTAAGTGGAAAAAACAAGCAGCAAAATGAGAAAATAACTTGCTAATCATAACTAATCCAAGTCTAGTATCCCGAATATGTAAAGAACCATTAAGGATTCAAAAATAAAAAGACAAAACCCACTTTAAAAATGAGTAAAGAATTTTAACAAATTGCCTTCCAAGTGTATGAATTTCCAGTTAGCACAAAAAGAGATGCTCAATATCATTATAATTATTAGGGAAATGCAAATCAGAACCACCTGTATCACATTTGATGCAGTAATTCTACTCCTAAATGCAGCAAAATAAAGGTGCACAAAATTATGCATAAATGTTACTAGCAGCATTAATCCTAACAGCAAAAATGAAGGAAAACAACTCAAATTACAATACTAAATATTAAAAAATATATAGCACAAATCCATACACTTTAATGTTATTCAGGTTTTACAGGAATGAAGTACTGATCTACTCAAAAACATGCCATCAGTTTCACAAGGACATTACTATAATAACAGTAAAAGACTACGATGAACTTCAGGTATGTCATACCAGTAACTTAATAGTGTAATTGAAAACACCCCAATACCAAAGTAAAAACAAATCTTGAGTCCCTTTACCTCATCTTATCAGTTGCTCAGTATGAAAATGTTCCTGAGTTCAGCTGAGAAGAGCTAAGATACAAAATCCTACTCAATTTCCTCACTCATCTTTAAGTTACATGCAAAGTCATCTACACGCTGTTTATTTCTAAATAATTAAGTTTGTTCTAAATACTCATATATAACACATGCTTTTAAAATCTTCCAAACTTCATCCCCAACTAAGAAAGCAACATTTCAAAAAATTAAACACTTAAGGAAAAACACACTTTTACTCATATGATAGGAATTTGTGTTGCTCCAAAATCACTTTCATTAATAAAAATTTATCTGAACATATACTTAAATGTATAGCAATGAGACCCCATAATTTTTTCCTAATTGCCTAATTTTCTATGACTCATATTTTCACTTATAATTCAATCCAATAAAACAAAAGTTCATGCTACTATCTCAGGAACAAAAAAATAAAAAGATAATGTGAGATAATTCCTGTCTGCAGATCCTCCCACACATAGGAAAATTAATGCCTCCTTAGCAAAACCTGTGGAATCATCAAAAGGAAAATTCTGTGCCAGCCAGCATTCAGGAACCAGAAGACAAAAAAATAAAATTCAGCCCTTCCATTAATGAAACAGGGATCTTAACTATCAACAACTCTTAAACTTCCTGGGTCATAAAAAACAGGGGGCATAAAGAACCTAATGTACATGTAAGAAAAATTTAAAAACCTCAAGTCGCTATCAATATTGAGACAGTAATCATAACCTGGCTTACCTCAAGGATTTTTCCTAAAAAAAATAACTAAGTAGCAGATGCAGGACCAAATAAGGATAATTCAGAGGCCTTGACATCTTAAATGTTACTTCTTTCAGAAACAAATCTGAGCACATTAATAAAACAGGAAGATAAAGAAAATAAAGATGTAGAGTAACCATATATGAAGGAAATACTTCAGCAAGAAAACAGAAGACTGATAGATTAGGTAAACCAAGAAAATACAATAAACTCTTTATATAAATGCTAACCACATAGTAGTACCTTGTCTTAGACAGCAATAAAAGTCACTCTACTTTGCTCTAAACCACAGTTTATACTCACTCCTCATTTTAAAAAAAAATCCTGATTTTAAGACAAATATTCACTAGGCAGGAAGCCTTCAAACTCGAGGTTCCAAAAATAAGAGCTTCCCATAGGCATCCGCCATATTGAGATCTAAGGCTAAGTGAAAGAGCACAAAATGGCGGACCAGGATAATACAAATACAAAAAACCAAATTACCAGAAGCTAAACCAAAATATAAATACTGGGAACAATACCTTTATATAAACAGTAAGAACATATAAGTCATAAGTATTTCAAAATTGCAGACACCTGTTAATTTTTAAACTCCATGTAAGAAGAAAATGCCAGAACAAAGTATTTCATGCTTCCTGAATTTACGATTTTTCTCAAATTCCAACTAGCACAATATATATTCATTGTGCTAAATTAAATAATTGCAAGCATGTCAAAATACTGAATAGGAAGACAAAATCCCTATAAATGACCCTCCCCTCCAAAGTCCTAGAATAGAGTAAGTTACTTTCTCTGTTCATTATCCTTTCTCACTTAATTTTCATACTGGCTTCTACTTCAAAAATGGTCAATTCAAAAGTATCAATTTAAAAATCTTACTAAGATCAAGAATTCCTTGTACATCCCTAGCCCTATAGTTTTCTCTCCACTTTTCTGATGTTCTCCTATTCGCCTTGAGCAATCACAACTAACCGCTCAAATTCCTAAGAGCCCAGGAGAAGCCGTGCTCCTTATTTAAGAAAAACACCTATAAAATGCATTATCCCAAACAAAATATCCAGAAATAGAGTGATGAGTCTACTGAAGATGATGCAGCTGTAAAATTATCCAATATATAAAGTTGTAATCCAAGGGTTTCTAAAATTACTTTCATTATCTAAATGGGTAGTAAATCAAATATTTGTTGAATATGGGGACCAAAAATGCTCACAATACAAAATACAATACGGGGAGAACATACAAAAATGAAAATTCACACATTTCTGAAGACTAAAAAACAGATTTAAAATCTCAATGCAGTGATGGAGGTTGCCATAAAGTAGCACAAATAACCCAGCAATGGCTGTGCCTTTCTTGGCCTCCTGGCCTCCATGTCTCCCTTCTAAGAGCAGAGCCCAAGCTGCCATTCCAGGCAGTAGTAGATTGTACAAAATCCCTCTCATTCCCTTCCCTGCCCTTCCACGGCGGCACACGGGGAAGGGGCAGCCACAAGGAAGAGGTTGTGCAAATACCTCTCCTTCCTCCTCCCTTCCCCCACTGCAGCACAGCAGTGGAGGAACAAACAGGTGTAGTGGGTGGATGCCAGGCCCACCAGGCAGAAGCTGTGAGAACCCCTTCCCCTGCTGACCACCTCGCCACTCGGCAGATGTGATGTAATCCCTGCTGCGTCCTTCCCCACTTGCGGCACTTGTCGGGGGAGGGCCCCTGCCACTCAGGAACGCCTCCTCGCCTAGGCTTGCGAGGGTGGGGCTGATACCCACACCAAGGATGCGAGAAGACTGCTCCTCCCCTCAACTGCGGCACTGGGGGAAGGGGGCAGTAGCCCCCCACCCTGTTGCGCAAGCGCATACTCACACATCTGCAGCGGCAGCCATCTTTGGGGAGACGCACAATGACCGTACTGCGGCATAGGACCCCCATGTGCTCCTAAGCTCACCTTTGAAAATTTTATTCTGACTGCAGAGAAAAACAATGCAAACAAGAAAATGCTCCCCATGTCACATTCCAGAACCTGTTAGGCCTCTCACATGAGATGCATAAAGCTCTGCACACCAAATCCCCAATCCCACAAGAAAGGCACAAACGCGCGAGTATAAAGGAATGCAACATACAGGGACACCAACATTTCTAAAGTCAACCTTCAGTGGGCTCACCTCAATACACAAACTCAGATTCCACCACAGGTTGCAGAAAATTAAAAGTTCTCTCCACTTTTATTCAAATTAATGAGTACGGACCACATACCACCACACCATCTCCCAGTCATCTAGACATCCTGCCCCCACTGCCTACCCTCTCCCTGCTCCCTTGCCTGCCTCAACAACCAAGATGGCCACTCCCCCATTGCCCCAAATCTCACCAACATGGAGCTAGATCATCATCAGCCCCCCGGTGGCTCCTTCTGCCACCGCCTTAACCGCCACCGTTTTGACCAGCACCACCACGGACGCCACTGTTCTGGTGGTCTCCCTGCTGCCCACCACCATGGTGGTCGCCTCGCCACTCCCCTCCCTACCATTACCACTAGGGTAGTCTTTACGCCATCCCTCCTTACCAGCACCTGGATGGTAATCCCACATTTCTGAAGACTAAAAAACTGATTTAAAATCTCAATGCGGTGATGGAGGTTGCCATGAAGTACAACAAATAACCCAGCAATGGCTGTGCCTTTCTTGGCCTCCTTGCCTCCATGTCTCCCTTCTAAGAGCATCACCCTACCATCATGATGGTCACCCCACAGCCCCTCCCTATCATCAAGATGATCACCCATCACCCCTCCTTACAGCAGCCACTGAGGTCTACATCCCACTGCCCCTCCCTACCACCGCCAATGCGGTCACCCCGCAGCCCCTCCCATCCCAGCCACTGCGGACACCCTCCCCTCCCCCCCAACATCATGGGGGGTCACCCCTGCCGTGGTCATCGCCACCCCTCCTTACCACCGCAAGGATGGTCTCCCGCTGCTCCCTGCAGTCCCACCAAGGGGGTCAGCCCGCCGCTTCCCTACCACACGGCTACCGCGGTCCCCCACTCGAGCCGACCAGCGCCAGGGCGGTCACCCCCTCGCCCCCGCCCACCATCGCCACGGCCACTCCGCCCCCTTCCTACCCATGCCAAGGTGATCGCCCACCACCGCTCCCCTCGCCACACCGACGGTCACCCCACCGCCCCCTCCAATCACCGCCGCGGCAGCCTCCACCCCTCCCCCGGCCTGCCAGCGCCCCCGCCCGCCATAGCCATGGCGGCCACCCTGCCAGGGCGCGCCATCACCTCGGCGCGCGCTGCCCCCCGGCGCCGGCGCGCACCTCCGCCGGCCATCACGCCGCCGGCCGCCCGACCCCAGCTCCGCACCTCGCCATGGCCGCCACCTGCCGCGCCCCAAGCCACCTCCCGCCACGCACGGCCATGGCCCGCGGGCCACCTGCGCCCTCGACCGCCGCCCCCACGCCGTGCCCGTCCCGGGCGCCCTCCCCGCGGCACCACAGCCCGGCCGGAGTGTCCGAGGCCGCCATGGCCCGCCCGGCCGCGGCCGCGGCTCAAGGACAAAGGGCCCCGGAGGGAGCTGACGCGATGCGACGCGACGGTGCGGCCGACGAGGACGCGACGCCGCCACCAGCTCCGCGGCCGCCGCGAGCCACGCCTGGGCCGCAGCCCCCGGCCTCACACAAAGACCTTCCGGCCCCGAGCCCCCCACACGCAACGGTCTAAAGTCTGAAACCGCGGCTTTGAGAATAAATAATATGAGCGCGCCCGCGGCCGCCTCTCAGGGAGGAGCCCCGCGCCGCTGACCTGGCCCGCTCCATCGCGCCGCTGGCCGCTCCTCAGAAGAGCGCGTCAGGCATCTCCCGCGGACACTCGCATCTGCGCGGCGCCCGCAGCCGCAGCGCCAGTGCAGCTCACGCAGTGCCGCCTGCGCATGCGCGCCAGCCCGCCCTGCCCGCCGAGGCTGCGCAAGCGCATTGGTTTGCCGCAGTGCTGATGACTGCCGCAGTGCAGGGGTGCCAGCGCCCTCCATACCTGGAGTGTCTGAGTGCCCGAGGCTATGGTGACTAGTTGAGAGGGTCAGTCCAAGACCACCACCAACCCGGGGTTAATGGCAATAGTGTCTATTTTAAGTGCGTGCAAAATATTTAGGAAATTATACTTGGTTCTGCACTTTGTAGGTATTACTAGCCAAAAGATCCTGATTTACAATTGCCCTCATGTCTTCCAGTATGCTGTATTAGAAAAGGTCAATTGGAAAACTTAGAAAATTCTAGAAAGACACAGGCAAGGCAAACACAGGTACTTCAAGCACTGTTGAAAAGAAATATCTATTCTGAAAAAGATGGTACATTATTCAAATCTATTGGGATTATTTTCCTACTTACTACAAGATTTTGTAAATTTTGAAAGTTATGCCACAACAATCATAATGAAGTTAACAAGTCTCCAATACAAAATAGTTAGATCATGAAACTGGGAAAATTGGCTATTTACTTCTTGTAAAACAAAAATGAACTCAGATTACTACATTCAAAACAAAAGATTATTTGGATACATTTAAATTTCTACCAGTAATCAATAAGCTTAGGGGAAGTAGCACTTTCATATAATAACACTAAAGAACAACTAGATAGATGATTTTCCCCCCCTAATAGTAATGGGCCAACAATACAATGAACACTTCCATAACACCCAAATTTCTACATATGTGGAATGCAGAAAAAGACAATAGTGAAGAGGGAAAGCTTAGGAAATAATCCTGTAGCTGTATTTGCATAGTGTTTTACATAACTTTGCCCTTTTCTCCACTGTCCATATCAAAGAACCAAAGGTGCTCCACCCTTTAAGCTGTGTTCTGCTTGCAATGCTTATAGTCAAGTATGAGAAAATATAGCAATACAGACTTTTATCTTAATAAAATGTTGTACTACCAGGAACCACAAAACATGAGGACAATTAAAATGCTGATTTAATTTGTTATATTGAGACAAGGAGCACGAATGTTTAAATGTTGACAGGGCCAGAATTTCAGAACCACCTTTTTAAAAATAGGAAACAAATGCCTACCCCTTAAATTAGATTATATTAATAGTATATTTCTGTAAGTTACTTGAAAGCAAAATAAAGCTCTTGACATTAAAAAAAATAATAAAATAAAATGTTGGAGACGATGTGCCTCATGGAAGATACATAGGCCACATAAACTAAGGTATAAACAAAAAAATACAGTCATGTTTGATATACAGAATGGAGTATTATGTTGAACCATGTGAAATTGTTCATATTTAACAGTTTTGATCTCCACAAATTGTAATTTCTAATAGTTCATTTTTATATATTCATGTGAGCTTCAGAACATGCCATCCCCAAATAAGCCATGTGGCATATGACTATATGAGGTTATCCCCTACACAGAGAAAGTTGATTCTGAGCCTGACACAAAGTCAACTATTTAACACCACGAACATTGTAAAGACAGTTATGAGGAATATGATCAGAACTGTCAGAGAGCAGATTAGAAAGTATGAATATAGATATGACACCTAATGCATAAGCCACAAAGGAAAAACATCGATAAATTGGACTTCATCACTATTGCATGAATGTTTTCCTTCAAAGAATATTGTTCAGCAAATGAAAAGACAACCAGTAGAATGGTAGAAAATATTAAAAAAAGAAACATGTAGCTGATAAAGGAAGTCTGAAAAAGTCCTACAACTCAACAACAGTAAGAAACAGTTTAAAAGTGGGGAAAAGATTTAGAGACAATTCTGTAAAAGCGATAATCGGCAAGTGAAAAAGTTACTCAACATCATTAGTCATTAGGAAAATGCAAATGAATAACTCAACGTGATGCCACTTCACACTCACTAGGATGTCTATAACCAAAGAGACAATAAAAAGTGTTATGGAGGATATGGAGAAATTGGGATATTGGAATGTTATTGTTAATAGGAATGTAAAATGAAGGAGCCAGTTTGGAAAAAAGTTGGAGAGAATCTAAAAATTTAACCATATACTTACCTCATGCCTCAAAATTCTATTCCTAAGTATATGACCTAAAGGAAATGAAAACATTCATCTCTGCAAACACTTGCAGATGAAATTTCATAGCCTTATTTATAATGGTCAAAACGAAAAATAGTCTAAACATCTATAAACGGATGAATAGTTAAATTATGGTTCTCATGGCACATCTGCACAATACAGTATCATTTAGCTATAAAAGGGAATGGAGGGCCTCCCTGGTGGTGCAGGGGTTAAGACGCAACCTGTGAAGCAGTCTGAAGCCACTGCAGCAGAGTTAGACCCCCCCCAGCAGGGAGCAACCCTGGTGGTGCAGCAGACCTCTTCTGGCTAGCCCACTGCTCCCCTCATTAGAGTGTGTCAGTCAGTCTTCCTGTTCTGTTCCCCACTCTGTCTCTGGTGAATTCTCTCACCACCCTCCACACCTCTGGTCTATATCCCAGTTCTTATATGCATAAGTAAATAAATCTTTTAACAGATAGAATGGCGTATTTATGATCCATGCTATTACTCTAAGTGAAAATTCAAAATACAAAGCCCACATATTTCAAGATTTCCTTTACATTAAATGTCTAAAATTGACAAATCCAGACAGAAAGAAAATTGATTAGTGATGGTCAGGAGATAAGGCGGGTCAAATGGGGAGTGATATGAGGGTTCTTTAGAAGACTAAAGAGATGTCCCGGAAGTAGATGTAGGGATGGTTGTGTTATAGTGTTGCAAAACACAGTAAGTATACGAAACACTGAGTTGTACAATCTTTAAAACATAAATTTTACAGTATATAAATTATAAATCATTATCTTAAAGTTTCAGTCGGGGGATTTCTACAAAATACCTGACTGGTAATCCTCAAAGCCATCAAGGTAATCAAAAAAATAAAGTCTGAGTTTGGTCATGTCACAACCAAAAGCCTTAATAAATCTAATGTGCTATCCTGGATAAGATCCTGGGACAGAAAAAGGATATAATGGAAAAAAAAACTTTATTTTTTAAGGACTATCTTTATTAAGTATGAACTGTAGTTAATAATAATTTATCAATATTTATTCACTAACTGCAACAGATGTACCGTAGTAAAGAGTTGTTGATAATAGGGGGAAACGTCTAAGATATGAAGAAGCTCCCTGTACTATCTTCAAAATAATTTTGCAAAATAATTATTCTGAAGTAAAAATTAAGGTAAAAACTTGATCAGAACAGGGATCAGAAGAATTGTTAGGGGGAAAGAATGAATCACTGCAATTCGAACTTTAAAAATTTTCCTATCATTTGAATTTAAAGCTGTATCAGGTAAAAAGCAAACAAATGGTTAAAAAAAAAAAAAAAAAAAAGGCTGGTCAAGGAAGGTTGTCTGTGTCACGTCCCAAATCCAGCTGCCCCAAGATGTACGAAAGCAGCACACTGAATATTTTGAATTAAACAGTCAAGGAATGAAAGCTATCTTAAAAACTTCCCTTTCTGGGCCTCCCCGGTGGCGCAGCGGTTGAGCGCTGGGTTGCGAGGCTGCCCGCTGCCTCTGCAGCGCCGGTTCGATCCCCGGTTGCTCCCCGGCCACCGGAGGAGGGTCCCACATGGCGCGCAGACCTCTCCTGCCGCCCGCTGCTCCCCTCAGCAGTGTACTTCAGTTCTTCTGCCTGCTCTGCTCCCCGCTCTGGCTCTGGTGAATTCTCTCACCCTCCCGTGCTTCTGACTGTACCCAGTGCATGTACAAACAAAAAAAAAAAAAAAAAAAAAAAAAAAACGAACAAACAAATAAATAAATAAATAAAACATGCCTCTATAAAAGAAAAAAAAAATTAAAAAAAAACTTCCCTTTCTCCTAAAGGCAGGAGTTTTCTCTGACCCTCCTCTTCTCGGTTCCCTCTGAAAGCAGTAAATAAATCTCTATATGAAATGTACCCTCTTGGGACAGAGATAGAGCGATACCCTTCTCATCAGATAGAGACCAGAAGCTGTGTAAACAAGTTCTGCTTGGCTAACTAAATCCATTGCTCAAAACAAAACTCTCAAGAATTTCTGTGTCTTGTTTGTTCATTACAAATTTTTTGCTTTTTTGTCTAAACACTGTATAAGTTGACTGTTCTGATAATTCACAAGTTTCCATACATTATGGATCTCAGCATGCATGAAACTCAATTTGTCTTTTCATTTTCTAATCTTTCTTGTATAAAATTACTATTTGTCCAGCCAAAGGAACCAACAAATTTCCTATATGTATTATATGACAATAATCACAATAAACAAGATTAAAAGAGACAGGAGAACCCATGTGCAGTACATTTAACAATATCTACTCACTAGATCAAACTACATTAAAACTCCTATATCATACTCATAGTATATA